CATTACCCTTGTACTCAACCAATCATGTACTAAGTCACATCCAGTTTAATTCATTACCTGGTAGTGAATCAATCATGCACTAGGTCAAATCTAGATTGATTCTTTCCCCCTGGTAGTGAACCAATCATGCACTAGGTCAAATCTAGATTGATTCTTTCCCCCTGGTAGTGAACCAATCATGTACTAGGTCACATCCAGATTAATTCATTGCCTGGTTAGTGAACCAATCTTGTACTAAGTCAAATCTAGATTGATTCTTTCCTCTTGGTAGTGAACCAATCATGTACTAGGTCACATCCAGATTAATTCATTACCTGGTAGTGAACCAATCTTGTACTAAGTCAAATCTAGATTGATTCTTTCCCCCTGGTAGTGAACCAATCATGTACTAGGTCAAATCTAGATTGATTCTTTCCCCCTGGTAGTGCACCAATCATGTACTATTTCAAATCTAGATTGATTCTTTCCCCCTGGTAGTGAACCAATCATCTGCTATGTCACACACGGATAGATACCTCCCGGGGAGCGAACCAATGGTGTGCTACGCCACAACGTGATTATATGGCCGGTTTACTTACTTGTTCCGTTAAATCCGGGCGCCGTGGACCCACAGAATCGGTTTCCGTCTACAATAAGAGCATCAAAAAGGCACGCGGCACCGCTATACTCCAAATCAAAAAAGTCAAAATAAATAGCACCGTATTTAGATGGATGTATAATAATTGTCCAGTTACAGTACTCATTGTTGTCGTAGGGGTCTGGGAAGTTGGGGGTGCTGATTTGATCGGTTTCATCGGTGAGGTATCTGTTACATTCAGGAACCGGGGTGACTGGTCCCGGTGAGGGCGTCACGGTTGGGCCTGTAGGGATAAATAGAAAGTTGGTGTAAATAAATAATTGTCTGAAATGTGTAAAGTTGGTACCCCATTAGTGACATATACCAATACACTAAGTGTATACCACTAAAGAATGTAACACTCACTTGATGGACATCTGCCTTCGGTGATGGCGATATCATCAATGGCAATATCGCCATCGTAGCTTGTTCCGACCACACCATCGAACGCGATCTGGAAGTATTCACCAGCATAGAAAGACACCTCATGATACACCCATGAATTGCCTACTTCACCGACTTGAACCCAAAGCAAACTGGTGATGCTGGTATCGTTAGGAGGGGAGGGGAACTCAAGCAGTTTCACTGACAACGCGTTGATGTCGTAACCATACATGTGATACCAAAATCCAACACAGAGTGTCGAAAAAGTTGGATCATATGTTGGCGTCAATAATCGGGCTCGATCTCCAAATAGTCGTGGACTAGATGCTTCTATGTACATATAGGCGTGGGCTGGAATTAGAATGTACAGGAATAAGGTCACATGAATGTACAGGCAATATAGATAGCACCACAAGGCAAATAAATAAATAAATAAATAAATAAATAAATAAATAAATAAATAAATAAATAAATAAATAAATAAATAAATAAATAAATAAATAATGACAGCAGCTAAGATTAATTAATTAATTAATTAATTAAGTAGTTTAATTGATTAATTAATTAATTAAACTACTTAAATGTCCACCATTTGCTGACACCGACAGCGACCAAGATCACAAAAGCTTCTCGACTCTTTCAACGTCAAAATGTGTATTTTCAGGTCAGCTGTTTTTTGGTTTATAGCCGATTATGGCCAGCAAACCCTAACCTGTTACACCATGGCTTGACTTCAAGGGTGTATAAATAAATCAATTCAATAACAATGCTATTTATTACATAATATTTCGCCGACATGCCCACGCATAAAATAAAGAAATGATTTTAAAATTACTTACATGTATCTCCATACGTGTGATCCACTTGGGGGCCCGTAGCTGAACTTGGTGTTCGTCCCATGTTCCTCGTCCAATCGAACACATCGTCGTCATCCTGGACGAAACCACACACATTCATAGACTCAAAGTCGCAACTCATAGGAATTTGATGGGCTGTGCCAAAGCGATAATATAGTATTGTAATACAGCAGGTAAAAAGAAATATCACGGCTACCTACTAAAACTTGCCTGGTAAGATATCTATTTGCACAATCATTGTCGAGTCGTGTTTGTCGCCGACCCCTTGAATACAAGGGTGCATTATTGCAATTACAAATTACATGCAAATGGAAGTCTGAACTACTAAAGGCAATGTCATAAGGTTCACGCTGTCGTTTAGGAACATTGTGGAACATTTTGCAAGTGGAAGATTGTATCGCCATTTCATTGGGGAAAATCCCTCTAATTTTATGGACATTTTCATGATGACTTAACATTGAATGTAAACTTTTAAGTATACCTAAGCATAACATGCGCTGATCTTCAGTAGTAATGCGTGTTGAAATCACTTGTCAGCTCTAGTTTCGAGCTATAAAACACGTGTAAGGATTCCTTAGGATCTAAGTAACAAATCAGCACTGATTACCGCTCTCTACCCATCAGGGGCGGATCCAGCAAAATGTATTGGGGGGGGGGGGGTTCCAGGCCTATAGTTCGAAGACACGGTACCGTGCGATTTGGACGATGCTATGCTTAATCAAGACGCATTTTCATCGGTTTTGGGGGGCATGCCCCCCCCTCCCCTGGATCCGCCACTGCTACCCATGATGATCGCTTTTCAGAATCGACCGATTTGGAGGATTTCCTAAGTAGTGTAAACTAAATGACAAATAGACACTGGTATGTGTAATTTATTTTTGATCGAACACAATAAAATTATGTCACACTTCCGGGATTCTGCACCACAGTTTAAAAAGCACAGACACCATGGCCTGTCAGTTATAGCAACACTGAACGAATAAACACATTAGATGAATTGTTTAGATTACAAAATGTCGTCTTCCAGACCGAGAAGTTCACGTCACACACTCTAGCGACGATGTGTGACGTCAAAAAGACAAAAAGGGGTATAATCAACGCGCTTCAAAAAGAGTTCGCCATTTAGACTATAGCAAAACAAACCACAGATCAGAACATCATAATATATTGACGTTATGAACGGCGCCCTCTAGGTCATAACAGCGCTTCGAAACTGGTCACGCAAATATTTCACATGTACCGTATAATAATAATCTTGTCATATCCACCATAGTTTACGTTGTAATGCAGTGCAATCATTTTGACACGGTAAATGGCCTATTGCATAACAACATATTTGAGCAAGACAATATATTGTACAATCAGGTAGTAAATATGAATCAGGAGGAACATTAGCTCGAAACATGTAAATTACTCACAATATCACAACAAACAGTCACAGCACACTTACTTGGACGTCCTGGTAAGATTGTAATCTCCGCATAAAATCCGCCGAATTCCACTGACCAATCGGATTGAAACGTGATTTCATGTATACCATTCGCATCAGGAGCTAGATAATCTGAGCGAAATGGACAGAAACACATGAAGTACTAGTATGTTACAATAATGGTCATTATCATAAACTTAAAAACAATTGATTGGTTTAAAGGGCGGTGGTCGCCGCGCTTCACATGTGCGACATTTGTTTTGATAAACATTGATTTCCCACAATCCAATGCGCTCTTCTAATGGAAATCACAAGTATGAGGGTTGACCTGGGCGCGAATCGCACTAATTACCGCCGGTGGCTCCTTCCAATAACTTAAAAAATACCCAATAAAAGAGTGTTACATCTCAGTTTGTAATCGTTGATCTGCGCAACAGCCAAAGTCGCCATCTTTGTTTATATGAGATCCATAGTATATCTCGCGCATGCGTGGCGCGATGACTACTGCCCTTTAAACTGTTGGTGTACATATAAATTCGGCCGACAGCGTGGACTATGGTGATACCTTACCTGTCAAATTGGCGGTAGTTCCACATAATGCGTTACTATTCATTATTAATCGGTCGCATGGGCAGCTTGCGGCGCATAGTTCGATCGCCACGTCACGGTACCAAATTTCAGCATAGTAGCCCTCTGGAATGTGAATTCGGTAGCTGCAGTCAGAGTTCTCGGGATACAGTGCGGGATATGCTGGGGATGTTATCACGCCGAAGTCCCAGATAAAATCTCCATCGCAATCGATGACCGGTGGACCTATAGTAGTACAGATGCAGAGTTATTGAATATTCCATCGCATTCCATCGTGGTGGCACATAAGCAGGTAACATTGCGATAGGATAATCAAATACAAAAAATGCGTACCTAGATTGCAGGCTTCTCTGGATAATTGTATGTCATCTATCGCCAAATCGGATTGATATCCACCTCCTCGTGTATTTTCAAATATAACGGAATATCTCCCGTCGACCTGAAAATCCACCTCTGCTTCCAGCCATACATCGCCATGGTCACCAGTAGCAGTGAAGACCTGAGACAAGGGAACGTTGTCGTCGTCGTTGATGTAAACACTTAGCGTACCCATGCTTGCGCCGTACATGTGGTACCAGAAACGTAAGCAGTTTGCGGTGGGACTTGCTTCATAGACTGGGCTAGCTATCTGGGCTGTATAACCTGTTAGCCCGATTGATCCTTCGACGTATATGTAATACCCTACAAACAAACCAAGTCAATGTTTTTGAAATGTCGCGTCCAGTGATACGTTTGAGGTAAATTCGTGGAACTAGAAAGACGAACCAATGTTAAAATCAGTCAATATACTATGTATAATATAATACTATCGTACCATGAGTACGGAGGAAGATTTACCTTGTGCTGTTCCTGTTGTATGGTCAACACTTGGACCTGTATCTGTACTATCTGTTGGTCCACTTTTACGAGTCCAGTCCTGATTATCATTTATACCTTGTTGATATCCACAACCGTCTAACTCAAAGTCACATAGATGTGGTTGGGGCGTGACTACGAAAATATAGAACTTGTTTATTATATATGATATATATGTATATTCGCAAGGGTGCGCTAATATTCAATGTACTCTCATTGTTGTTGCTCTTGTGTGCGCCTAGGCAAAATTCACTACACTGTGTAGTTTTGTTTTCAAACTGCATATTAAACATAATAAATTAGTATCACTTACTGACAACCGGGATTCGTCTGATGGTAACAGAGAATCCACGCTGTTGTGTGTTGCCATCTGTTTGGAATATCAGCTCGTGTATCCCATCGGTAGCGTAGTTCACTGTGGAAACAAAACAGTGTGTGTAGCAAGTGACTGGACGTAAAAAAACATGTACTTTTAATATTGTTGTTTAATGAGGAATGATGTAGACCAAATTGGATTATGATTTATCGTACACTTGTTACGAAAATTTCGTTTGACGTATACTGTATACTATTCGCTGGATAAAAATAAAACACGTGAAACCAACCAATACTGAACGCGTACATACGAGACTTCAAGTACAAGTGTTTATTTCGTCATAAATTGTAATTGAATGTATTCATTAACATTAGCAGTATCAGACAGCAGTATTTAACATTCATTCTTCTCATCCATATTGCATATTTAAGTGTGAGATTCAATGCTTAGACTCTACACAGTTAATTGTTTGGCTCACGACAGGAGAAATAATAGAGACACTTAATAGTAGTCAGAATTATTAAAATTCTTATGAGCACTTTGAATCAATTCCAGTCCCTCCACGACATATTACGTTGTTGAAGTTTGTTTTTTTCACCATTTGCAAATACGTACACGAAACCTCACTCCGGTGCGTATAACTTGAACGCGTTACTAAAATACATTATGTGAGGCAAGAGGTATGCGCGAAGACAGTACAGCTGGAGTATCGACCGACGCGCGGCGTACTGTCTGAGTGCATATTTTGAAGTATTCTCGTAATAGCCTTATTATTATTATACATCTTTTCCTTCAATGTTTGTTTTATCTTTAGAGGACGCTAGAGGACGTAATCATTCCATATTTGGAATTCGCATTTCCTTATATGGTAGGATGAATATACCCCGTAAAAAACCGGCAGGTGTACAATAGATGAACGTATTAAAATAATGGCGCATGAAGTTTCCAATACCTTACCTAATCCGTTATTTCCCGGTAGTGTGTCACCACAGTGGGGTATCCCTTTTATTGACAGCGAGTCACAGGTGCAGCCATCCCCACAGTACTCGACACTGAAGTCGGTGAATTCCAGTTCCAAAGTCTTGTCGACTGGTACGTTTATGCTGTACGTACATAACAGGTTCGGGTCGTATACATTGGGATAGTTTGGACTCTTCAGTTCGTATAAATCCTGGTCGATGATCTCGTCACATGCAGCATTGATTGAATTAATCGACCCTGCATTGGTTACATAAATGAAGATGATAATGAGAATGAGAAAGTCATGTCTCAGAGACAACAAGATCTCACATAGAGTGAACAAGCCCCCACACCATGGTTGAATAGAACAGGAGAACATGAGAGAGAATGGAACACACAAAGTCTCGTGGCTATCTCGTTTTGATCGAGATTTTGATCGACATTTGCGTCCACGGTATAGTGCAAAATCTGTTTGCTCTAGTTTCGTACTTCGTTCCCAAAGTAGTGCATATGCAACTCGCAATGTGTTAAACATCGCCCTCTATGTATATACATACACACACTAGCTCACCTTCCTCTGCATTCCGCTTAGCTCTCGTCTTTCTTGAACCGCCCTCTTGCGGTGGAATGTCTTTTTGATACGAAACTTGTAAATCGGCTGGGTCTTCATCTTCCCTGTTTCTGGAGACAGCTTGCAAACGATAACATGTAAATTATATATTTAGACGTGTATTGATGTTGCTAGGATTCTTTTACTATGATCATTTACAGTAGGTCATACGAGATTTTAATTTATTACACGAATTTCATTGGACAATAAACTGTTTCTATTGGGAGAATATTTCTTCTTGCTGGCGAAAAACACCGGAAATCAAAGAACAAATATCTTAATAAATGAACATCGCCCGTCATTGTTTACGTGTTGTGCTTCGACTGAGAAGTATGACTGTGTAATATAACGAGAAAAAACAATGCAATTTATTTATGTTCATCATATGATACGTCAATAAAGAGTTCTATATGTAATTGCGAAATAATAAAATAGTAATTAGCTAATTATCGTGCAAATTAATTTATTTACACTATTTTAATTAAAATGTAATTATGAACTTTTAAGCGAAATATTCGAAAGCATGAGCCGACAGGTAAATAAAAATGCACTGACAAACAAGGGGGCGTAAGATCACAATGACGGGTTTTTGATCTAATGATTAAATCAGACATAACATCTTAAAATCTAGTGATATATTATACTGTCTTGTTTCTTATAGAAAATCGATGGAATTAAATATTGTCCCATGGGCGTGACTGACACTCCAGGCTGGACAAATATACGTGGCAATATACTTCGAAACAAGGCTAATATCAAAAACTGAGGTAATAAATTGTGGGTAAATGTGCATTCCACTTGTGACAGCGATTGTTCGTATATGTGGACTATCGTCTAAGTACCACACACTTAAAGCGGGGGAGTCGTTTACCTGCGCATGCGTCAGATGGTCATAGCGTGTTATTGTTTACAAACAAGCGTCTACCCATGAGCCTTTGCGTTTTTAGCCTGTGTTGTTATCATCGCTTGGGACTCAATTCCCGCGCGTGCGCAGGTGACGACTCTCCCGCTTAAACTTATCACCATACCTGAAGGTACGTTGCGTTCGTTTTCTAATATACGATGTCTTTCCTCCGCGTATTCAGAAATTCGGTTGACTGGTCTATGAAATTCGCCGTCTGCGACAACGCCATCTGAGAAATGAGCACAAGATTGCCACAATAAATATCTCGATTTGTATCGGTAAAACAATTGAGTCAATATTTTCCCACCGTTTGTGAACTAATGATTCAATCGTCTATTTATTTACGGCGATGTTTGTTCACTACAACTCAAGTTTGACCGTGGCTATAGTTGATACTTAGAGTGTGTTTGCTGTTAAAACCAACTAACACGTGTTAATCGTGATTACATTGGTATGTATATTTCTCTAATTGTGGCAAATAAAGAAGTGACATTTATACATATATAGTACAAATTTAACAAGGTTAATGAAAGCACCAAACGATTCACCTCTTCAGGACGCTGGTAATGAAAATGTTTGTTGGGAATAACAAAGCCAAAAAATTGTCTATTTGATCTTCAATTTATAGGCAAATTCACAAATTGTCAAACACTGCACTGCTGCCTCAAAGTATTATAAGTTTCCGGTATAATTGTGCATTTATATACAGTTTACGGAGGCGGAATTCGTGATTTTGTTGTGAATATAGCCACTTACATTTCGATGTTTAGTTGTTTGTTGTATTGCCCGGGTGCTCTGTGGTCGAGAATACACAGTTCGATGTTCGATTCCAAGACTGAATATTTTTTTAACAATATGACATGTATCCCAAAGCGTAATCATTCATGGACTTAGCGGGACTTTGCACTAAAACAGGGTAAACTGGATCCAAATTAGTCGATATGAGAGAGTTTTTTTGGCTCAAAAAATCTCGTTTTCGCCTAACAATGATCCTTTTTTTGTAAAATGGCTGGAAATCTCAAAAAAACGTTGTCAATAGATATCCCCCGAGACTTACTCTCTCTGTCCAAAATGGCTTGTCTTTCGATTTCTTCCATTCTAGATGCTGGAATCGCAAATCCTATTTCGGCAAGTTCTTTATAATGTCTCCAAATAACGTCATCTTCGACACCTTGGAGCACTGTTGAAAGTACAAATTGTTAAAATACATATACATACTAATGATAGCGCTTCACGTTGGTAAAATTGTGCAATTACTCCCGACGAAATATTGATTGATTCTCGAAACACATTATACGATGTACCTGCTCTTCTCAGTTCTTCCTCTTCAATTTCAAAATGTGGTTCCTCGTCATTGCTGGTCTCTGCTACTGCAGCTACATATTGTAAAAAAAAAGAGAATTCTCTGTAGCCGTATTATTTATTTATTACGCGGACCAACAGGCAAAAATACAGATTTTCAATGAGGTCAAGTTTCATTCATCCCGTAGAATTCCGCTGCTTGTTATGTTAATAATCGTTACATACACTAAGAACAAAAGGATGCATACGGGTCCGACAGTTTTACGGTCCGTCCGACTTAAAAAAATGTGTTATCACGTGACTGTTACGACTTTTAGCGTGGAATATCGCTACTGATATCGTACGGTAAACGCGAGATTAAACGTCACTATAAGCACAAGTCATTCAACAACGACGTTTGTATCGCTAGGATATTGGAATGCCAAAACGATGACAATTACTTACATGGTGCATTGAAAATAATAACTTTTTTTATTTAATAACGCTAAGAAGGATAATTTTTTCCCCGTTTGTCCCATCGACAACCCCAACTGCCAATTCGGTACAATTGACTCGCATAGCCTTATTAGAATAAATTATCATATGATTCATTAATTATAATATCCCTGTCTATTTGTCACTATGAATAGGTCCATATAAAGTTATCACAGAATGGTTTTACGTAAAATACTAATCATGTCGCTCCAGTTGTTTACAATTGCAAGATTACTCCCATATGGAAACATTTATAATAAATGCTTTTAATATTTTATATTGTGTTTAATCAAGAATGGTCATTTAGACTCTTTTTAAGGTATCGGATGAAGACTTTACGATGGGAGGAGTTATACAGTTTGTGAACAAGTATACCAGGTGATGACGTTGCCCTGGTACGAATAACATACATATATAATTTATTTATTTATTTGTAAACAGTACGGTGACATGGCAGTGTATTTAACAGTCGCCAACGTTTACATTAAACATTTGGTTTACATTAACAAATCATAATTTCTTATCAGATTCTTTTGTGAGGCAGACAGGACGTGAATAATACAAATGCTTCCCGGAGTTACACAAACACTGATAATGTCACTTTATACTTGAGAATTGCAGTGAATCATATACTATTTCTATACTTGTCATAAAAAGCAGATAATACAATTTATTTTAACATTCCTCTGTCAAGTCTACGCAAATCTAGGAAATTCAAACATAAAATCGATGATCTCTGTTCGGCTAGAAGTATATTGGTGAATTCATGCGAATTTTAGCACATTATAGCATGGTTTTGTGACCAAAAACTAACGTATTATATATATATATATATATATATATAAATTCAATGAATTAAATATACTTACGTAACTCATCTGCTGCGTTTTGAATTGATTGCTAAAAAATAAAAGAAAAAATATTAACAGAATCTTAAAGTTGTTAGTTTCCTAAAATGTGCGTTGGATTAACCAGTAACGTTTTTATGAGGACATATTGAAGGATGTATATAGTCGTAATTCTATGGTCACGTGATTCAGATACTGACTTTAATTTGATAAATAGTTGTTTCCCAGCGGAGATGTAATAGACAAGTATATTCAATCCCAACATATACTTTAAAATTACGTTTAAACAAGGAAGGTTCTACTTACTGGATGTTTGGCACTTTTAGCAATGCTTGGTCCAATAAACAGAAACACGCTCAAGATTAAAGCTAGAAGGAATAGTCGA